ATAAATAAATAAAAAATAAAAGGGAAAAAATAATCTGATGAACAGAATAAACTGGTGAATATAATAGAATCAGGGGCATAGAAAGGGAGTGGACTGACTATTCTTGGGGGAGAAAGGGGTGTGGGGGATGCGGGAAGAGACTGGACAAAAATCGTGCACCTATGGATGAGGACAGTGGGTGTGGGTGGGTAAGGGCAGAGGGTTGGGTAGGAACCGGGTGGAGGGGATTTATGGGGGTGAAAAGAGGAACAACTGTAATAATCTGAACAATAAAGATTTAAATAAATAAATAATCAGAAATAATAATAAACTTACAATTGATAGCATTTGACCCTTTTCTTGTTGGAACTGCTCATTTGGTATCTAGAACACCACACACTTGCATTTCCTACCACACTCTTCACTTCTTGGTTTCCATTGCCGAGTCCTTTTCTTCTTTCCATCCAAATGTTGGAGTGCCCTAGCCCAGTGGTTGGCAAACCGCGGCTCTTTAGCCCCTTGAGTGTGGCTCTTCTACAAAATACCACGTTTGGGCGTGCACGTACAATATGATTGAAACTTCATGCCCTATGTGTAGAAGTCGGTTTTTGGCCTGGGCGAGTCTATTTTGAAGAAGTGGCGTTAGAAGAAGTGGGAGGTGTCGGTCCGTCGGGCGGGCCGTGGGATATGCATCACAGGGAGGCGTGCGCGATTTATGCAAGAGTTGAGTGAGCCAGTCAGTCAGCAGTCTCATTGTGCAGTGGTTAGTGCTAGTCACGTCCACAAATCGCATGCGGGTGACAAAAATACCTACTTGAAGCATAAAGTTACCTGTATTTTTCCAACCAGCTGCAAATCCTACAGGTATTTTTGTCATCAATTTAAGAATTGTAATTCTTTTGTGTTGGTGGCTTTATTATTATAAAATGAAACATTTTTTAGGTGCCCTGTTTGAGATGGCTACACAGAAGAAGCAAAGAAAAACGGAAGACGAAAACTGTGAATTTAAAGTTGAATGTACCTACCTATATAGTTTAAAAAATTTGGCTCTCAAAAGAAATTTCAATCATTGTACTGTTGATATTTGGCTCTGTTGACTAATGAGTTTGCCGACCACTGCCCTAGCCTTACCCTTGGGCCTCTTTGCTACCTGCTTTTCTTAGATTACATCATTCAGTATTTATGGCTTTAAATACTACCTATTAATATCTATATGCTGGTGACTATCAATGTTGTATCTGTATTCCTTATTCCTCCCTAATCTCTAAAATTTTCAATATCCCAGTCCTCAAACTCACTGCCTTTCATCTTAGTAAATGGTACCAACTTTTACCCAGTGGCTCAGGATAGAAATGTACATTATTCCTTATGCTTTACTTTCCTAGCTTTCATCTAATCCATCAGCAAGTTCTGTTGGCTGTACAAATTATATCCAGATCCTACCACTTTTTACCACCTCCACTGTTACTGCTGGTTCAACTTCAGTAGCCTCCTAACTGACATCTATTACTAGCACCCTCATCCCCAACCCCCTTTATGGCTTCTATTCTTCACTTAATAGGCAGAATAATCTTTTTAAAGCCTTAACAGACCTTCACAAAATCCTTCAATGAGGAAGTGCTGATTCCAGGTCTGGGGTAGGAAATGTACAAGATGAATCTTTGAGGATGAGATACTAATAGATACAGAATAAGAGAAATGGTGAGGAGAAAATGAGGCCCTAATCATAAAATTGAAAATGGTATGGACTGTCAAAAACAGTAAGGAAAGGTCTCTGAGAGATGTTTCTCGGGATTACATAGGGCTTTTGGAATTTAATGGCAAAAATAACTGAAATTATATATACTATAAATCAAATAATAAGGCAGATTTCTTTTTTTTTTAAATCCTCACCTGAGGTTATTCTTTCCATTGATTTTCAGAGAGAGTGGAAGAGAGGAGGAGAAACAGAGAGAGAGAAACATCATTGTGAGAGAGAGATATCGATTGGTTGCCTCCTGCATGTGCCCTGACGGAGGGGATCAAGCCTGTAAGCAAGGCATGTGCCCTAGACCAGGAATCAAACCCAGGACCCTTCAGTTTGAGAGCTGACGCTCTTTCCACTGAAACATGCCAGCGAGGGCGGCAGATTTCTTTTTGATAATTGTGTATACACACACACACACAGTTTAAGAATTTTTCAAACCCACAAAAAAGAAACGTAAAAAACATAATGAATTTCTGTATGCCTCTTTACCTATACACACCAGCTGTTAACACTGGCCACTTATTTAATTTGAACCATATAGAAATGCTCCTTTTGACCAAAAATAACACACAAAATAGATCATGTAGATGGTTGTAACTGAAAACATACATATACATACAACACATATTTCCTGTTGCTAAACCACCTGAAAGTAGGTATGCATCTTCCAAGGACAAAACCATTCTACTCACTACAAACTAGTGCCTCAACTGAGAAAAATCAATATTAATTCAGTTTTATCATCCACATACAATCCTTATTCAAATTCCCCTCTTTGTATCGTCATGGTTTGTTGTTTTTTTAATATTTCTAGAGAGAGGAAGGGAGAGGGATAGAGAGTTAGAAACATAGATGAGAGAGAAACATTGATTGGCTGCCTCTTGCATGCCTCCCACTGGGGACCAAGCTTGCAATCCAGGCATGTGCTCTGACCGGGAATTGAACTGTGACTCCCTGGTTCATGGGCCAACCCTTAACCACTGAGCCACATTGGCCAGGCCATCAGGTTTTTTTAAAAAAATCTACAAAACTAATTCATGAGTCTGGGTGCTTTCTCTTAAAGAATAAAATGACGTTGTTTACTATTGGCTTACTCTAGTTTTTTTCTTCTTTGTGGTTTAGCTTCTTATATCCGTGTTTGACAACAGCATCAAAACCTTTGGAGTATTTGAGAGTGACCCTTTTGACTGGGAGAAGACTGGAACTGATGGCTCCCTAACAACCACCACTACTTCTACCACCCCTCAGTTGCACACCCGCTTGACCCCTGCAGCAATCGGGTATGTCCCCAGCTGCCCATTTAGCAGTGTTTCCTGGATGCATTACACTGGCAGAAATGTTTTCACCCAGACGCCTACAGATGACCAAATGCTAGACATAGGTGAAAGCCTATGGATTTTCTTGAATTGACATTGCTCTTGGATATGCCTTTGTTCAGATTTGCTGTTCTTAGGAAGTGTTTATAGATCATACTGTGAATGGGAGCTTAGAGCTTGTGTGAGTTGATGTCAGGTTTACAGTGGATTTTCGTATCTTTAAAATGAGGAGCATTTGTTACGTTTACTTCTAAAGAATACATGGGACCCTGGACAGAATGAGCCAAAGTATATCTAATTATACTGTGCTTAAGTTTAGTGGGAACAAAATATGTAGCTTGTTCCTCTTATGAGAGTGATTAATTTTCAAAGTGTATTAGAAACAGGTAATGGTATTTCCATCTTCTTGGTCTTTTGTGTTGTTTTCTCTCTGTGCATAAACAGCTGCTTTTGGGGAGGCAGGTTGTCTTCTTTTTCTGACCCATTTTTTATCTGCTCTGGTTGCTTTAAACTGTTTGGTTTTAAATAAAAAAGTAAATTGTAAAAAAATCCTCATACAATGTGAGTTAATTGGGACATTTTATCACTAATCTATTGCTCTGATTTTATAGTGAAAGATTGGATCCCTAGAGCTTATTGATCAGAAAAGCTTACATGGACTCATATAACTAAACATGTTATCCTTAATTAGCTAGCCTAAGAATTCTTAAATGTAGACCCTGACTAGTAGCATCAGAATCGCCACATGTTTGCTTAAGATATCTATTTGAAGGACTTACCCAAGAACTACTTAATCATATTTATCAGCTGTTTTAAATGCTTATCTGAGTTTGGAACCCCCAGCCAGCCACCCCATTTTATAAATGGGAAATAATTGTAATACTGAGTGAATCATCTGACTTTAGGTAAGTATTAGTCACAAAGCTTGATCTGTATAGAAATTCTGGCTTTTGTTTTAGGACCTTTGTTCTCCTTTGCCCTTAATTTTTTTTTAAATATATTTTATTGATTTTTCACAGAGCGGAAGGGAGAGGGATAGAGAGTTAGAAACATCAATGAGAGAGGAACATCAATCAGCTGCCTCCTGCCCACCTCCTACTGGGGATGTGCCCGCAACCCAGGTACATGCCCTTGGCCGGAATCGAACCTGGGACCCTTCAGTCCGCAGGCGGACGCTCTATCCGCCGAGCCAAGCCAGTTAGGGCTTGCCTTTAATTTTTGTTATAAGTTGATAAGCCTCCAACTTGCAAAAACCAGGTGATAGGACTTCAAGATAACTGAAGTTAATGAAGACAATGTAAGTTCCCATCTGCCAATGTTTCCTCCTAAAATAAAAGAATAACACGAAAGAAAAAAAATAAAACTACACAAAAACCATGTCCTAGCATAATTTGAAGACCAAGGATGCCCAAACTTCAAAATAACTGAGTAAAAAGAGGAAAAACAAAACACCAAGTCCTTGTGTGGCTATCTCTTCTGGTGCCTTACCCAACCTTGCCACAAGGCTTTATAAAGTCAGATCAGTAAAAACTGTGAGGAAGAGAATTAGCAATGGGAGTTAAGGTTGATCTAAACCCAACACCAGAAAGACTACACCATCCCAAGAACAAACATACTAAAAAATGTCCAAATAGATCAGATTATGAACTACAGTGAGGAACAAATATGCATGATTCAAAACACACAGCTTCTGGGAAGAAAAACAACAAGGAAGGGAGAGTTGCCCTTTATCCGTTGATTTTTAAAGGACAAAACGTGTATTCATTTGGGTTCAATCAGGACAGAGGAACTACATAGTAATTTGAACAAGGAAAGAATCATTACCTATAACATGAAATTGGAGTAGCGTGGGGTTAACTAGTAAGAAGTAGAGAGAACTGTAAAGAATACAGAAATAGCGAATATTCTGAAGTGCAGTTCCAACTCCTAGGGCCGAGATTAAGCATCCAAACAAAGCTCCCCCAGTCCGTATCCCAGGGGAGGTACATACTGACCTTGTTAAAGAAGGTATGCCCATCCCTCGTTGGATGGGAGAGAAGTCACTCTGATGCCACACTTGTAAAATTTGCTGAAAATCTGCCCTGTGGGGTACCAAAGAAAGCTATTTACTGGGGGTGTCTTACCAGACACACTCTGCTACAAAACCTCTGTGTAGTGGGGATTGCTCAGGAAAGCTGTTGTTTGCTGCTGGCCATGTGAGACAGGCCCTGAAGGGGCCCCGATGCTGCAGGATCCCCGCCCTGGGGAAAGCCACACATGCTGGAGAAGCTTGCCGAGCTACACACTGGGACCCAAAGCAGAGCACTCCTCCTGCAACCTCTTTCCAGTGCCCGCTGCGGAAGCAAAATATCTAAAGGGCTCAGATCCACTTTCATAAAACAGGAAAAATGGATGGACATGGAGCTGAAAGGCAATCTATACTATTAAAAGGGTAATATGCTAATTAGACCAGGAGACCTTCCAGACGTCCTTCCGAACAAAGCCATGGTGGTGGGGTCAAGGCAGAGGCAGTTAGGGGCAATCAGGCCAGCAGGGGAGGGCAGTGGGGGTGATCAGGTCAGCGAGGGGCAATCAGGCAGGCAGGTGAGTGGTTAGGAGTCAGCGGTCCCAGATTGCAAGATCCCGGATTGTGGGATTGGGCCTAAACTGGCAGTCGGACATCCCCTGAGGGGTCCCGGATTGGAAAGGGTGCAGGCTGGGCTGAGGGACGACCCCCCCGCCCCGCACGAATTTCGTGCACACGGCCACTAGTAAATCAATAGTTGCAGAGGAACAAAAGAAGAAAAAAATGTAATTACATACTAGAATGGAGAACTATGAAATCAGACAACACATGTATCTCCCCTGACCACAAAAAACATAAATCCACTCAAATGTTTAGACTTTGCTATACTGACAGAAGATGGCACTAATTAAACTATGAATCTTGTAAAATACTCCAATAACAGAAAAAAAGAACAACAACATAAAGATTTTAAAGTTCCATAAAGTATTATAGTAAAAAATCAGAAAATGTAATACATACTAAGGACATTTCCTCTCAGAAAAACAACCATGTGGTGATGGAAACAAAAAGTACCCTGGCTGGTTTGGCTCAGTGGATAGAGCATCAGCCTGCAGACTGAAGGGTCCCGGGTTCAATTCCAGTCAAGGGCACATGCCTGGGTTGCAGGCTCAATCCCCAATAGGGGGCGCGCAGGAGGCAGCTGATCAATGATTCTCTCTCATTGATGCTTCTATCTCTTTCTTCCTCTCTGAAATCAATAAAAATATTTTTTTTAAAGAAAGAAAACAGTAATTATGGGGGTGGGGAAACAACCATAAATAAAGTTATTAAAAAAAAGAAAGAAAGAAAACTAAGACAAAAGCCAAAATGGAATAAATTATGCTCATTCATTTGAAGATATGGATAACCACCTAAAATTAAGAATAGAAAAAGATACCCCCACCTCTACCCAGTGATGGGTGGAAAAGGTAAAAGGGATTAAGAGTATAAATTACCAGTTATAAAGAATAGTCACAGGGATATAAAGCATAGCATAGGGAATCCTATATAATAAAAGCCTAATATGTTAAGAGTCTGACCGTTCAACTGTTCGACCAGTTGCTATGACACTCACTGACCACCAGGGGGCAGATGCTCCAACTGGTGAGTTAGCTTGCTGCTGGGGTCTGGCTTATCGGGACTGGACAAGATGGACCGGACACGTCCTGGAGCCTTCCCGCGGTCCCTCCCCGGCCCCGATCATGCACTAGTGGGATCCCTCAGCCTGCCTGCACCCTCTCGCAATCCAGGACCCCTCTGGGGAGGTTGGAAAGCTGGTTTCAGCCTGATCCCTGCAGGTCAGGCCAAGGGACCCCACTGGTGCACGAATCCATGCACCGGGCCTCTAGTAAGTCTATAATATTGTCATAACTATATGATGTCAGATGGGTACTAGAATTATTGGGGGGATCACTTTGTAAGGAATATAAATATTCACTTTGTTAAATACTTGAAACTAATGTTTATGTCAACTGTAATGGAAAAATTAATTTTTAAAAAATTATTTAAAAAAAAGAAATAGAGCCCTAACCGGTTTGGCTCAGTGGATAGAGCGTTGGCCTGGGGACTGAAGGGTCCCAGGTTCCATTCCAGTCAAGGGCATGTACCTTGGTTGCGGGCACATCCCCAGTAGGAGGTGTGTAGGAGGCAGCTGATCGATGTTTCTCTCTCTCATCGATGTTTCTAACTCTCTATCCCTCTCCTGTCCTCTCTGTAAAAAATCAATAAAATAAGTTTTTTTTTAAAAAGAAAAGTAATAGACCCCAAAAGGGGTGGGGTCAGGGAGAGAAAAAAGGAAAAAGAAAACAGGAAAAGAAATGAGACTTGAAAGAAAAGGAAGAAAAATGGTATCTCAGAATTTAATAAATTATAAAATACACAATGGAGAATATACTCAAATGAGAACCACTGAGTTAGAGATTCAGCCTGCACACTGAAGGGTCTTGGGTTTGATACCCAGTCAAGGGCATGTCTCTACCTGGGGTGCAGGTTTGATCACGGGGCATGTGTGGGAGGCAACCAATCAATATCTCTCTCTCACCTTGATGTTTCTCTCCTCCCACTCCCTCCCTTCCACTCTCTAAAAAAAAAGTTTGCTGAAGTCTCTGTTTGCAAATGTTATGGAGGATAACTAGAAAGCCCTAGAGAATCATTGTTAAAGAGAGAAATATGATTATGTCCCACAACTCTGAATTTCTTACTAGAAGAAGAAAGTAAGTTCAGGAGAAGGTAGGAGGATGTTTCAAATCAGAAGTCAGCGTTGGTGGTATAGTGGTGAGCATAGCTGCCTTCCAAATCAGAAGTCAGCAAACCTTGTCTATAAAGGGCCAGATAAAAATGTGTGGACTCTGCTGTCTCTGCCTCCATATCGTTGCTGTTGTAGTGCTAAAGCAGCCATGGACAGCATGGAAACGAATGAGTGTGACTGTGTGCCAAAATATGGTATTAACAGAAAATAGGGGAGCAGGCCAGATTTGGCTCAGAAGCCCTAGTTTGCCAGCCCCTGACTTAGACGATGGGGAAGGGAATACGAAAAGGATGTCCATTCTTACTACTTTCCCAGTTCTCCCATACACCTCACTTTTTTTTCCCCTAATCTGCCTCTATAGTTTATATCTAGCCTGCAAACACAGACCATATGCTAAAAATATTTTCACCATACTTTCTTACTCATTCTTATTCCTTAACATAATACTCTCACACATATTTTCTCACTCATTCTTATTCATTAACATAATACTCTCATATATACTTTCTCATTCTTATTCCTTAACATAATTTCTCTGGAAAAGAATTCTTACCTTTGTATCTCAAAATCCAGGTTTTGATCAGAATTTTAGGAGAAGAAAGAAAATAATGTAAGGAGTAAAAGTGGGAGAGTAAGTGCAGAGAGGAACCTGAGTTGTGTGGAAGACAGCCTGTGCGGAGAGAATGGGAGAGCTCCTGGAAGTGTGTGGTATTATATTGAAGTCTAAGAGATACGAGGGAAATTAAGATAGAGTAAAAATAGCAGCAGTTTCATAGGTGGAGAAGTGAAAGAAGAAAATGCCAAGGAATTGGTAGTTGGAAAGAGTCAAAGTAGTAGGCATGTGGAAAAAAGGATTTGGAAGACCACTCAGTGATTAAAATGGGGAGGGGGGGGAAGGGTGGAGGATGTGGGGCTAGTAGATTGAGCTTCCTGAACTCAAACATTTTTCCTTTTTCCAGTCCCTTTCCTTGGGATAGAGGGAATTCTTTCAATAAATACTTAGCATCCCATGTGACACATATGTTAGTGTCTACTTACACCTGAAAAATCCTTTAATAGCCAATTTATTTCTTACCTTTACTTTTTTTAATTAAAATGTTCCCCATCACCATTTATCCCCTCTATCCCCTGTTCTACCTCTGCCCATCCTCCTCCTGAACTGTACTTTTATAATCCTTTCATTTGAACTACTTTAGGCCAGACTTACCTTTTTGAGATGTTCTTAGTGTCAGAACTCCAGGTACTACTTTACAAGGCTCTAAGTTTCTTTCCTGAGAGCCATGGCCAATGCTTTTCTTATTACTTACCTCTAGCCTATTGACAAGTCCCTGAAAATGACTGATCTTTGTTCTCACAGCATGGCATTTATGACATCCGGGCCAGGGTGTAATGCTATCCTTAGAGTGGTACACTAAGTGGCCTTATTTTATCACTCATGATAATTATGTCAGTATAATCTAATGAAGACTGATTTTCTACTTTTAAACCTTCCAGATCACCTCTAGGAAAAGGTTTCATTGTGTACTAAATACTGTGGTCAGTCAGCAGTATTTTTAAAAATTGAGTATAGTGTAGAGTTATGGAATGTTAGGGCTGGCAGGGGCCTCATCACTAGTGATAACAGAACTAGAAAAGCCTCTCATGGGCCAGAAGTCTGAGAGAGAGATGACCAGCCATGTAAACAGGCATGAAGTTCCTTTGAAAGCAATATATATACAAAGTGCCAATTTATATTTTCTGTATCATTCCTGGTCAGTTCATGCAGATGGATAAACTGTGTAATTGCACATTTTCTAGTTCCCCCTAGAGGGCAAGAAGTTCCTTTCTCTTCTTTATGTCTCCTAGGGCCTTGCATGGAGTAGGTACTTAGTAAAAAGTCTGTAAATGAAAAAACAAATGCACATTTTACACTATTCAAAGCATAACTTAATTGATTTGATACCTGCTTATATCATTATTATTCTTAACATTTTCCTGTGTATAGTTTTTGTTATTCTCTGAGAAAAATGGGTAAAAAACAGAAAATAAAAATTGAAAAATACTCCTTGGGAAATAGACCAAAATAGAAACAAAATGGAAAATAGTCTCATTGTAATTTTTGATTCTGGTGTTTTTAAGTTGTGCCTTTTCTTCACCCCTCATTTTTAGAATTGCTAATGCCACTCCCATCCCAGGGGACTTGCTTCGAGAAAATACAGATGAGGTGTTTCCAGATGAACAGCTTAGTGATGGGGAGAATGGCATCCCTGTTGGTATGTCACCAGATAAATTGCCTGGATCTCTGGGACACACTCATCCCCAGGAGAAGGATGTCTGGGAAGAGATGGATGCCAACAGGAACAAGATAAAGTTTGGAATTTGTAAGGTGTGTATTTCTTGCATAAGAAGTAATACCTTTATGTGTACTTATTTTCTCCTATTGTTGTAGCAAAATATAATGATTCTCAATTTTGAATGAGAAGTAGACAGTATTGCTAGTTCTTTCTATATTTGTAATTGCAGTATTTTGGATAATTTTTCCCAAAATACTGAAGTATAGATACCAAATATTAATCTTCATCTTATATTTTGTGAAAGAGATAAAGATATTTAAAAAAAACCTGACTAGACCCTGAGAAAAAAAGAAGAGACATCTATAGAACAGAAGGTAATAGTCTTTCTAAATAATGTGACAAGATCCCGGACTCCTTTGGTGTGGACTGATAGAGCTATGAGTACCCATTCTGAAAACTGTCTCAGATGGAGGTGGGAAAGGGAGAGTTGGAAGTGGGAAGCATCACACAACTGTTTATGAGTTGACAACGTGGATGTTGAACAAATGACATGATTTTTTTCTTCATTAGAATTCAAGTAGGTCCACCTGTAAGTATGGGGAAAGATACAGATTTCTAAATTGAATGATTAATTTTTAGTAATCTTCCACAAATTTCTCTCTGATCTTACTGTTCCTCATCATTTCCATTTTCATAGAAGATTATATGAAGATAAATGGTATGTAGGGGCAAGGAAATAGAAATCAGTTAGTTTTTGGTGCTTCCTATGTTTTAAGGTTTAATTGCAAAAGAGGTTAAGTTCATAGGTGTGTAAAATAAGACTTAGGGCTCATACCTGTTAACATGACTGATAGAAAGTTGGCTAGTCATGCTTTATGAATGAGGAATACATCTTGAAAAGAATCCTCTATAATCACTTCTGAGGAATTAACTATATACTTTAAAACAGTACATACTTTCAGTCATGGGAGTCATGTGCAAAAACTTTCTCTGTGTAGGCGTGATATGGTGCACCGTGGTCTGGCTATTAAATATGCATTATTTGGACTAATAGTAATCAGGAATAAGTAGTGAAAAAATTGTCAGGCGATCACTGTCAGACAGCTGTGGCTGTCTTTATGGCACCAGGAGCAAACTATTCTCATGGTAAAAACAACAACAAAACACACACACACATAAACCCCCACATCTAGTTGCCACCACATATGGGTATCTGTGTATATGAGAGAGTGAAATGGTACTTGGCATATATGTACATGTGTATTTGTTTGTATATGGTTGTATCAGCATGAATAACAGCATAGAACAGTGATGGCGAACCTTTTGAGCTCGGCGTGTCAGCATTTTGAAAAACCCTAACTTAACTCTGGTGCCGTGTCACATATAGAAATTTTTTGGTATTTGCAATCATACTAAAACAAAGACTTATATTTTTGATATTTATTTTATATATTTAAATGCCATTTAACAAAGAAAAATCAACCAAAAAAATGAGTTCGTGTGACCTCTGACACGCGTGTCATAGGTTCGCCATCACTGGCATAGAAGAATGTACCCAGGCTATTAATACAGGTTACCTGGTTTAGGAGATGTTGGATGTTTTTAAAAATACATCTAATAATATTTTACTAGCTCAGTTAACTTTGTCATTCCAGTAATTTTGAAGATGAATTTTATGAAAAGACTGTTCAATCAAAAATAAATAAAAAAAGAAAGAACTTTAAATCCAATAAGAAAGAAAAAAGGGGTTCACTTTGGCTACTAGCAGAAGCAGAAGATAATCTTCTCCGAAGGAAGGTTTCTCCACTTCCCAATTTAGGTCTATAGAACCCCCACCAATTGTTAATTATAGAGTAAAACATTAAAGATAGTCAAACAAGCCCTGGCCATGTGGCTCAGTTGGTTGGAGTGTCACCCCACACACTAAAAGGTTGTGTGTTCCATCCCCCATGTTTCTTTCTTTATCTCTTTTAAATCAATAACAAACAAATACATATCCCTAGGTGAGGATTTAAAAAAAAAAAAAGATAGTCAAACACATAAGAAGGCAATGCCACCAGGATTGAGTCAGCAGAATTATTTTAAATGTAAGCTTCCCAACCCCTTGCTGGAGACCATTTGCACATCTTCTTGAGGATCTTTAATCAGAAAGACGCCCCAGATTTCCCTCTTTCCTGCCACCACTAGTGTAAATCTTAATTTCCCTCATAATTGCACCGCTGTAGGCATCTGTCCCTAGGTAGCCCCATCCCTCTGTGCTGCCCAATCCTCAGCAGCCTCCTGCTCCACCCTGCTCCTCATTGTTCAAACACCGAGTTTCCTTATTCTTGTGTGTTTTTAGAGAGGGGACGCAGCAGGAGGGATTGAGGCTTGGCAACCTCTCCTACTGCTTGTGAAACCACTTGACTCAAAGAGAATGTCTAAGTTTTAGTTTAGTGAATGGGGTCCTGGAAGTTTCTAGTTACATGTAATACAAAAGGCTAAGGCTATTAAACATTTTTAGATTGTTTAAGTATAAAAACTAAAATAATACTGAAACTGAGAATAAATTAAGAAAGCTCACTTAATAAAAGGTTAAGAGAAAAGTATGTCATGACCTAAACTAGGCAAAATATCTTAATCTTGTGAGAACACATCCCAAGCATTTGGTTATATTATGTTGTAAGACTTCAACAATTACTATCACGTATAGTAACTGGAATGTTTTTCATAATTTTCTTTTATATTTTGTCTAGGCTGCTACTGAGGAGGAGAATAGCCATGGCCAAGCAAATGGTATTCTGAATGCTCCAAGCCTTGGTTCACCGATTCGTGTCCGCTCAGAGATTACTCAGCCAGACAGAGATGTTCCGTTGGTGCGAAAGTTACGTTCTATCCACAGCTTTGAGCTGGAAAAACGTCTGACACTAGAGCCAAAGCCAGATACTGACAAGTTTCTTGAGACCTGGTATAAAATAGTTTTTCCTCTTTTTTTAAAACTAAGATATTATAATCTTAAATTTTTTTTATTTATTTTTATTATGTAAAGTCTTTCAAATAAATTCTTGCATTTCTGTAGCACTGATTTGATTAAGCTCTCATCTATGTTTTTAATTATCATCCTGATTGTTGTTGTGAATTGCCTCCTAATGTTGTTACAAGTCCTATAACATAGCCTTTGGCTTTAGGAGCTGGGCAGTGAGAGCTGGTAACTTCATAATACTAGGTATAGTTAATAATTAGTCAATAAATGAACATTTTGAAGTGACTTTGTTTGGAATGGAGAAGATGCAGTGTAGAGTTGGAGAGGGCATTAAGCAGGAAAGAGGGGAGTACATGAAGGAGGGGGAAAAGTCATTTATACACAAGGGACAGGCAAGTCAGTTCATTTTAATGAAGGCCTTCTCTAAGTAGTGCTATAGGGAAAATAGACATGAATAAGTTTATCATTCTACCTAGAAAGAAGGGAAGACAGAACTTTAAAGAGCTCACAATCAACTTTGAGAGAAGGACAGGTGAAACTTAGAGAGCCATACATTGATAATGACTGCCGTTATGAGGCCCATTGTCCTCAAGTTTTGATAATAAAAGACAGAATGAAACTTTTAAAAGAATTTGGGATATATTTATGAATTATAGAAGGCTTCAATAATATTAAGACCCAAGTGACTTCAATAATAGTGACACTCTTCACTGTACATCCCTGGTGGCTATTATTGGCAGTGGAGTATAGTTAGAAAGACCATGTGTTTGACATTGTAGTAATTGTCCAGAGACAATTCAGCCTTTCTGGCCTAGTCCAGTCTGGCTTTCATTTTAAACAGTCCTTTATGGATGCATATTCTTCCTGTAATCATTCAACTCATAGCTATGTGATGTAAGCTTGTGTCTACATGTTGATATAAACAAAAGGATGGACTAGGGTTGGGGCAGTGTTTAAACATTTTGAGTTGTGGCTAAGATTGGGAATAAATATAAAGGGATAAAAGCTTAGTTTGATAAAGAATTAGTCTAACAAAAGAATAAAACTTTAAAAAATATTTTTATTTATTTTTTAATTCATCTTTATTGTTGAGATTATTAGAGATGTCCGTCTCCCCTCCACCCGGTTCCCATCCACCCCAGGCCTTCACCACCCTATTGTCTGTGTCCATAGGTAATGCATACATGCATATAAGATCTTTGTCTAACCTCTTCCCATACCCCCCACACCGTTCCCTCTGAGAATCCTCAGTCTGTTCCATTTTCTTTTTTTTTCCTTTTTTGTTAAATTAAATCTTTATCGTTCAGATTATTACATTTGTTCCTCTTTTTCTCCCCGACATAACTCCCCTCCACCCGTTTCCCACCCCACCCTTCGCCCTCAACACCCCCCACTGTCCTCATCCATAGGTGCACGAATTTATTCAGTCTCTTCCTGCATCCCCCACACCCCTCCCCCCCCCAAGAAGTTAGTCTACTCGCTTTCTATGCCCCTGATTCTATTATATTCACCAGTTTATTCTGTTCATCAGATTATTTATTCAGTTGATTTTTAGATTCCCTTGTTGATAGATGTGTATTTGTTGTTCATAATTTGTATCTTTACCTTTTTCTTCTTCTTCCTCTTCTTAAAGGGTACCTTTCAGCATTTCATATAATACTGGTTTGGTGGCGATGAATTCCTTTAGCTTTTCCTTATCTATGAAGCTCTTTATCTGACCTTCAATTCTGAATGATAGCTTTGCTGGATAAAGTAATCTTGGTTGTAGGTTCTTGGTATTCATCACTTTGAATATGTCTTGCCACTCCCTTCTGGCCTGCATGGTTTCTGTTGAGAAATCAGCTGACAGTCGTATGGGTACTCCCTTGTAGGTAACTAACTGTTTTTCTCTTGCTGCTTTTAAGATTCTCTCTTTGTCTTTTGCTCTTGGCATTTTAATTATGTGTGTTGGTATGATCTTCTTTGGATTCCTCTTGTTTGGGTTGCTCTGCACTTCCTGGACTTGTAAGTCTATTTCTTACTTGGAGGTTTCTAGAAGATTCTTGAGTAATTTTATAACTGTAGTTTTGAACTCTATATCCAGTAGTTTACTTTCTTCCATTTCTTTCATTTGTGACATGTTTCTTTGTCTCCGCATTTTGGCTGCTTCCCTGTGTTTGTTTTTATGTATTGGGTAGCTTTTAAGTCTCCTTGAGTTGATAGAGTGGCCTTTTGTACTGGTAGTAGGTGTCCTATAGGGCCCAGTGGCTCAGCCTCCCCAATCACCTGAGGTGGACACTCTTAGTGCACCCTTTACTGGGCTGTGTGCATAGTTTTGTCGTAGGTGAACCTTGATTGCTGTTGGTATCACTGGGAGGAATTGACCTCCAGGCCAATTGGCTGTGGGGACCAGCTATGATTTACAGTGGGAGAGCTGCTGTGCAGGAGACACCCTATGGAGCCGGACTTGCTTCAGTGGGGCTTTGGTGCTCACTGAGTCTGCCCCTTGAGTGTGTCGCTTATGGATGTGAAGAGTTGTAATCTGGTGTGGTCTCACTCTGACTACTGGGTATACTGGCTCTTAGGTCTCCAGGGAGGTGCAAAGTCAGCCACTGACTGGGGCCATCCAGCAAAAGCTACAGAGAGATCTGCAGATTCCTTTCCTTTGTTTGGGGTTTGGAAGTGCTCAAATGAGGCCCAGCTGTGAAGCAAGGCAGGCTGGTGCTGGTGCTGGGTCTTAGGCCTTTTATTGATAGGTTTGGAGCTCCAGGACCCAGCTGCAGCTTGTTTGACAGGTTTTTAGCCTGAGAAAGGACAAACCATTGATATGCAAAAGCCACTGGGCACAGCTTAGGTGGGGCTGTAAATTGGGTGGGGTGGGGTCTCAGGGAATCACCAAGGTGGAGCAAGCAGCAGTGGCTGCCAGTCAGCCCTGCAACTGGGAACGTCCCTGCATGAGAACAATGACCAATGTGCAGTCCCTGAGTTCCTCCCCCGATGCCAGACAGTCCAGTTTCTCCCCGTGTGTGTCTGGGCCCCCAGAGCCTCACCCAGCACTGGAGCTCAGAGGAAGTGAGAGCTTGTAAATTCAGTTCACGATGCAGCCTTTTAAGAGGAACAGCTGGGTCTCCAGAAGCCTGCATGTCACTCAGCCCCAATCCACACTGGTTTTTACAGCCCTTAGTTCTTACTGCCCGTAGGGGCATCTTTCCCCAGCTCTGGAACCCTGAGCTGGGGATCCGGGACCCCTCACTTCTCCAGGCAGCCTCTCAGAGGCAGTCTCCCTTTTGATTAAAAAAGTGGCACACTTGGGTCCTGATCAGCCCTTTCCGGGCCTCCGCACCTCCTACCAGTCTCAGGGTGCTTTCTTCTTTACTTCTCTAGTTGTAGGAGTTCTATTCAGCCAGCTTTCTGGCAGTTCTGGATGGTAGTTGTTTCGTATTTTAGTTGTAATTTTGATGTTGTGGGAGGCAGTGAGTACAGGTGTTTACCTATGCTGCCATCTTGGTTCTCCTTAATATTTTTATTGATTTCAGATAGGAAGAGGAAAAGAGCGATAGAAACATCAAGGATGAGAGAGACTCATTGATTGGCTGCCTCCTGCATGCCCCCTACTGGGGAATGAGCCCAAAACCCAGGCATGTGCCCTTGACCGGACCCTTCAGTCCGCAGGCTGGCACTCTATCCAGTAGACCCAATCTGGCTAGGCAGAATAGAACTTTTAAAAAGAGTCCATGCTGAGGGAAAACAGAGTTGAGAACAGAAGTAATCGAAGAAAATGAACTCAGTCCCAGCTGGTGTGGCTCAGTGGTTGAGTATTGGGCCCATGAACCAGTAGGCTTCCCTTGGGTAAATTGTTCTCAGCCCCTCAGAGAGGAGAGAAGAGAGAGCAGAGGGCAGTGTGATTGAATTGGCAAGGCAAAGATGATGTGGATCATACAAGTCAACCAGTTAGGCTTCTCTGCAGCAGGAGTGACATCGCCCATCTCCCCAAACAAGATTATGACAGGTGGAGAAGAGCATGATCAATCTGTGAAACTTTCCTTATGCTTTATCCGTATTTTTTTTAATCTCTGTGAGAATATTAGTTCTGTATAGAGCTTATAGGTTATGCAATAAGTATTACCCTTGGACAATTGAGTAACTTCTCTCTGTTTTCTTAAGCCTGGAGAAAATGCAGAAAGATTCCAGTGCAGGAAAGGAACCTCTTCTTCCTGCCCTGCTTCGTAAGCCTTGTGTTCCTACTGGGGCCCGTACTGACCACATCTGGAACTATGATGAAGAATATCTTCCAGATGCTTCTAAGCCTGCCTCTGCCAATACCCCTGAGCAGGCGGATGGTGGTGGCAGCAATGGATTTATAGCTGTTAACTTGAGCTCTTGCAAGCAAGAGGTTGATTCCAAAGAATGGGTGATTGTGGACAAGGAGCAGGACCTTCGGGATTTTAGGACAAATGAGGCTTTAGGCCATAAAACAACAGGGAGCCCTTCTGACGAGGAGCCTGAAGTACTTCAAGTCCTAGAAGAATCACCTCAAGATGGAAACCTCCGATTGGGTCCTTGGGAAGAAAATACTCATTTAAAGAAGGAAACCTCAGGTGTGATCTTAGCACTTTCCAGGGAATGCCCTGCCACTGCTGCTTCAGAGCAATATACAGATAGGCTAGAACTCCAGGCTGGAGCTGGTGGTCAGTTTATTGCAGCAACACCCACAAGTCCAATGGAGGCACAAGCAGAAGGACCTCTTACAGCGGTAAGAGATTTGTTCCTGTCATTTATCCACTCAAGGTGTTATTAAGAAAGAACTGCCCTGGTCAATGTAGTTCAGTTGGTTGAGCATCATCCTGTGCCCTGCAAGGTCACTGGTTCAATTCCCGGTCAGGGCACAAGCCTGGATTGTGAGATTGATCCCCTGTCAAGGTGCGGCTGATTGATTTTTCTCTTTTCTCTCTCACATCGATTTCTCTGTCTTTTTCTTCCTCTCCCTTCCTCTATCTCTAAAAATCAGTAAAAAGATATATACATATATAAATGAAAGGACTAACAGTTGATCAACTAAGGTTCTTCAGCAGAGGCCTAAGTATGCAAATGGTATAAGGAGTGATGCTTGGACTAGTTAGTCTTCTAGCATGAAATTTCTCAAAAAGTGAGGTTTCCTGTCAGGATACCAACTCAATACACAATATGTCATTATAACCTAATTTCAGAAGAACATTTATACTTAGACTATAAGAACTATCTATCTATATGTGTATACATAATGATTTTTTTAAATTATGATTCCAGATATTTTTAATATCTACATTAGAAACATGGTGAGGAAGCACCCGGCTGGTGTGGCTCAGTGGTTGAGCATCGACCTATGAAGCAGGAGGTCACTGTTCGATTCCTAGTCAGGGCACATGCCCAGGTAGGGGGAATGCAGGAGGCAGCTGATCAATGATTCTTTCTCATCATGGATTTTTCTACTTCTCTCTGCCTCTTGCTTCCTCTCTGAAATCAATAAAAATATAAAAGAAAAATATGGTGAGGAAGGTCTATATTTAACCATTCATGGTTTGTACCAGTACTTTATTATTTATTTATTTTTGTTAAAGAATTATAAATTTATTAGGTCATCTGGAAACCCAGATGGACTGAGCCCCAAAATGGCGCCGGCCCATGGTTTGTACTTTATACTGTTGCTAAATCTAATTATTTTTTTCTCCTTTCTCTTTTGTAACCTCCACCTAGACATTTCTCATATTTTATATTTCTCTTAAGCCATAGTTTTATAGCTTTGATGTCCATTGTTTAAAATGCAGAGTCCCAGGCTCATTTTCAGAACTTCTACTTCAGTAGGTCCGGGATGGAGCGAAATCTGCATTTTAACAAGCAGCTGAAGGTAATTGTGATAAGTCTTCTGCAAAGAAATGTTCTGAGGAAACTACTGTTTACTCCCACTTTGGGCATTCATATGGAGACGCCTGTCACACTGTGGTTTTCAGTAAGTAGTGCTGCCCCACAGCTGGGTGAGTGGCAGGAGTTCCAGAAAAGCCAGAGATGGAGGCAGTAAAAAAATGTACACAAACCTCAGACACAGGCAGGTTCATCTGTCCTTAATGGGTGGGAATACCAGATTTTCTTCAATTCCATCATCATCTAGTGGCCCTCTCCTCCAACTCACCAGAAAAAGCATTGTTCCCCAGACTGAAATGTTTTTTTTTTGTTTGTTTATTTGTTTCTTGGTTTTTTTTAATATATTTTATTGATTTTTTACAGAGAGGAAGGGAGAGGTATAGAGAGTTAGAAACGTCGATGAGAGAGAAACATCGATCAGCTGCCTCCTGCACACCTCCTACTGGGGATGTGCCCGCAACCCAGGTACATGCCCTTGACCGGAATCGAACCTGGAACCTTTCAGTCCGCAGGCCGACACTCTATCCACTGAGCCAAACCAGTTAGGGTGACTGAAATGTTTTTTATTAGGACACAATTCCTCATGCAAGTGTAAAACAATGAGAAAAGATAATAGAATTTGATTTTGTGAATAGCTCTGTAGGGATTTACCTACACTACAAAATGGGAAAATAAATACCTACTTCTTATTTGTTTATTTGTTTATTTTATAATCTTCACCTGAGGAAATGGAGGGGGGGAGGAAGGGAGAAAGAGAGAGAGAGAGTGAGAGAGAGAGAGACCGAGATCTCGATTGGTTGTCCTCAGAATGCACCCTGACTAGGACCGAACCTGCTACCCAGGTACGTGCCCTGACTGGGACTCTAACCAGCAACCCTTTGGTGCACAGGATGATAATTAACTGAGCCACCCTGGCCGGGCTACCTCCTTTTTTAAATCATTTAGTTGGTCTTTCCTTCTTCCCCAAGACTGCTTTGTAAAGTTATATAGGTTGTTTACTGCATGCTTAGCCAAGGGAACAGTTGTTTCTGAAATTTAGCTCAAACTTTGCTAGCCAAACTGTGCATCTTTGTTTCCTCTTTGAAGAGCATCGTTTTCCAAATTGTACAAAGGTACCCTATGGGCAAGAGTCAGGTCCTACCATTCCCGTCCCTTCCCTGTATCCCGTTTCTCACCTCACCTTTTCTCTTTGCATTCATCCCCTCTTTCCACCTCCAGGATTCCGTTTCTTCTTTTCTTTCACTCTCGAGACCAGGGGTCCTCAAACTACGGCCCGTGGGCCACATGCAAATACAAGTATTGTATTTGTTCCTGTTTTGTTTTTTTACTTCAAAATAAGATATATGCAGTGTGCATAGGAATTTGTTCATAGTTTTTTTTTTAAACTATAGTCGGGCCCTCCAACTGTCCGAGGGACAGTGAACTGCCCCCCTGTTTAAAAAGTTTGAGGACCCCTGCTCTAGATGCTATGTTCTCACTGTTGTTCAAGTATTTTTCCAATAGCATTCTGGTGTGCTTCTTTTCAAAAGGCTTTCTAACGCCTTGGCTTAATTTCTTATAGTATTTCTTGCCCATTCCCATCAATACTGTCCTGCCCACAAAGATAATTCTTATAGCTGTTGCACTGTGTGCAACATTTTCTCTATCAAGTTGTTGAAAGACTTGTATTTATATATTTAATATGTTTGACCTTTTCAAATATTTTTAAATAAAAATATTTTTCTTGCCTGGCTGGCATGGGTCAGTTGTTGAACATCGACCTATAAACCAGGAGGTCACGTTTCAATTCCTGGTCAGGGAACATGCCCGGGTTATTAGCTTGATCCCCAATGTGGGGCATGCAGGAGGCAGCCTTCAATGATTCTCTCATCATTGATGATATTCTCTCTCTCTCTCTCTCTCTCTCCCTTTCTCTCTAAAATCAATAAAAATATAATTAAAACAATTTTTAAAAAAATCTTTTTAACTGAAGGTCTCTAAAGAAATGTCAGCTGCATTACTTTTTTACTTACTAGTACGTATGTCTAAGGCAGTGGTTCTCAACCTTGGCTGCACATTAGAATCACCTGGGAATCTTTTTAAAATCCTGATTTCTGAGCCTCATCCTCTGGAAATTTTGTTTCTCTGTTACTAATGTTGTGGCCCCATCCCATAACAAAGAAACAGAATTTCCGGAGGATGAGGCCCAGAAATCAGGATTTTAAAAAGATTCCCAGCTTATTCTAATGTGCAGCCAAGGTTGAGAACCACTGGTCTAAGGTATTTAACTTACCATTTCCTTCATTGGGGAGGGAGGGGTGCCGGGGCATGGGATAATATATATATCTTGATTATCTTCTTGAGGCTTAAATTCCGTTTACTTTTGCAAAGTTGATACTATCAACTGACCATAGGCACATTAAATAGAGAGAGTCATTCCTGTCTTGAGTCCTGAAAGAGGAGAAAGAAAGGCTGTTAATAGAACCTGGTAAGATCCTATCTATGGGAGTGGGGCCATATGACAGGAGCTATGGCCAAGAGTGGTAGAATGTAGTCCCTTGCAGTCCCTTGGGGAGGGAGCAGAGAGAATTAATACCCAGACACTTATCTCCACAAATTCAGATTCTATGTTGGTGCTGGCCATTGGGCAAACCCAGAAATCAGAAGGCAAGGGAGCCTGGGATAGCACAGTCTGCAGAAGCCAGTCTTCCAGAACACAAAGCAGGGGTGTGCTAAAGAAATGCAGGGGTGAACCTCGAAGAAGACTGTGCTGTACAGTTCCTGAGCTTGGGTGTCGTGCATTTTTATTCAGAATTGTTCATTTTAAATATGAATTAGGCCAGTGGTGGCGAACCCTTGAGCTCGGCCTGTCAGCATTTTGAAAAACCCTAACTTAACTCTGGTGCCGTGTCACATATAGAAATTTTTTGATCTTTGCAACCATAGTAAAACAAAGATTTATATTTTTGATATTTTTTTATATATTTAAATGCCATTTAACAAAGAAAAATCAACCAAAAAAATGAGTTCGCGTGTCACCTCTGACACGTGTGTCATATGTTTGCCATCACTGAATTAGGCAGACCCGGCCAACATACGTGTTCTTCTTATAAATTAGTATTTGAGGTGTTAAATCTCAAATCCTGCATCTTCACTTATATTCTACATTATTGCATTTTAACTTTTTTTTTCTTCTCTCTCTCTCTAGGTTACAATTCCTCGACCGTCTGTGGCATCTACACAGTCGACTTCAGGAAGCTTTCACTATGGTCAGCTGCCAGAGAAGAAGGACCTTCAGCCTGTGGAGCCCACTGTGGAGCTTTATTCTCCGAGGGAGAACTTCTCTGGTTTAGTTGGGACAGAGGGAGAGCCTCCTAGTGGAGGAAGCAGAACAGACTTGGGGCTGCAGATAGAGCATATTGGTCCTGACATGTTACTCGATACTAGAGAGTGTGAAAAATCTCAAGACCTGGGACCAGAAGACCTTCCTGACCTTACCAGACTGGCTGGGAGAGAATTTGAGAGTCTCCCTAGGGAAACTGAAGAGAAAAGCCTGCTAGGGTCAGATAATGAAGATGAAAAGTTAAGTAAAGGGCAGCATTATATTGAGATCTCCTCCCTCCCCGGAGACTTAGAAAGGGATCACTCAGCGACTACTGAACCTCTCGACATGACAAAGACACAGACTTTTAGTGTGATGCCAAACCAAGACAGAAATCATGAGAGAATGAAGCTTCTGGCAGTTGAAACTTCAGAAATTTCCCCAGGAGGCATTGACCCACGTGCTGAAGGACAGATAGGCCAGGTGGCAACAATGCAAAAGAGTAAGATATCTAAGGATGATGATATCAAGAGTGAAGACTTGCCCAGTCTTCAAGGAGACCTCTCTACTTTTTTGCACCAAGAGGGTAAAAAAGAGAAAATTGCCCCTAGAAATAGAGAGCTATTTAATAGTGTTTCAGAGAGTGAACATTGTCCCTCATCCCGGAAGGATATGGTTAGGTCATCCTTCGTAACTAGACACAGCCGAATCCCTGTTTTAGCACAAGAGATAGACTCAGCTTTCGAATCATCCTCTCCACTCTCTGCAAAAGAAAAGCTCCTCCAAAAGAAAGCTTATCAGCCAGACCTACTCAAACTTCTGGTGGAAAAAAGGCAACTCAAGTCTTTTCTTGGGGACCTCTCAAGTGCCTCTGATAAATTGCTGGAGGAGAGACTAGCTACTGTTCCTGCTCCCTTTTCTGAGGAGGAAGTCTTCACTCCCTTTTCAAGACTGGCGATAGACGCTCCCCTGAGCAGGTCAGCTGAAGATAGCTTTTTGTCACCTATCATCTCCCAGTCCAGAAAGAGCAAAATTCCAAGGCCAGTGTCATGGATCAACACAGATCAAGTCAATAGCTCAGTTCCATCACAGTTCTTGCCTCGGCCACCACCAGGAAAGCCACCCGTAAGGCCGGGAGTAGAAGCCAGGTAATGCTGTGTGCTCTCCCGTGTTAAGTGTATGGCACTGTTTCTGTGTCTACTTGACTCTAACATATAACATGTCAGAGGTTTCATTTCTTGTTGCCTGCTGCTGATTGTCTGCTTTCTTCCTTGCCTTTCCCAAGCCATAGCACAGTGTAGTTGAAGGGGTCAGATTGATCCAGGTTAATTCTTGGCTCTCCCACTTTCTTGCAGTGTAAATCTCAATTTTCCTATCTATAAAATGGATTGAACATTTGCCTCAAGGTTTGGGGAGGATGAAATAAGGGAGTGTATGTCTAAAGCTTCTTGCAGTGCTGACTAGCATGTAACAAAGGTTACTTCTCTTGCAGTCTGTTTTAACTAGATAATCAGTATTTTTGTAGCTTTGGTTAGTCAGCATCCTGTTATAACAGATGTCATTATAATGTCAAATTCTAGTGAAGAATAGTGTGTTCATCATTTGATGACTAACTCCTGGTAGCACTACTGTTTATCTGATTATAATGAATTAAACAAACAAAAATCCTACAGGCGGTTTCCCTAGATCTGATGCTAGATACGGCAATACATAATAAAGTTATTGCTTTAATATTTACTGTATGGTATACTTGTTTATTGAATTTCTCATGTATAGTTGACCATAGAGTCAATAGATTATATTTTGAAGAAGAGGAGGAAATATTGGGAGGTAATGAGCCAGTTAAGAGTGCTTTCCTTGGAGCCATTACTCACTTTCACAGAGTAGAATAATGGTCTAAACTTTTGGAGAAGAAAGAAGAAAAGGATAGTCTTTTAACCAAAATAAAGTGAAAATCAAAATGGTAGTACATTTGCATGAAAACTAGCCTGTCTGAGATAATATAATAATAGGCCTCTTCCTGTTATAGGATATCTAAAGCATATTAAAGTAAGATTCTACAATTCTACATGTATCGTTACACAGCAGAACTTGTTACCCTTACCTAAAGAAGGTTTAGTTTTGACTTGCCCTAAGGTTTCAGGTTCAGGGTAACTAAATATTAGATTTGAAGTGCCAGTGGAACAAGACTTCCATAGGAAGAATGGTGATGAGTAAACAGCAGTCATTTTATGAGATTTTAAAAAGGTGATTCTATGAACAATATTTACATATCCCCTTTTTCTTCTGCTTGGCATCTATGCTTAATAGAGATGGCATATCTGTGGCTTGAACTACTTTGGATTGCAACAAACAGATCTTAATTTTCATTCATTATTAGCATTTTACAGTGTCCCCTAAAAGTAGCACTTAGTAACTAAGTCAAGCCTGTGGCATTGTGCCAGATATTAGAGTTGACTCATCTGGGAACTCAACTTTCCCACTTAGGTCCTGGCACAGAGGAATTATTTTATTCCATTTCAAAATTTTTACTATAAGAGCCTTGAGAATAGGCGTAAACCTTAATGAGTTTGTCATTTTTCAGAATAAGTAGATGGTGGGGAAAGAGAAGGAAAGAAAATTCATAGAAAAAAATCAGTAATTTGTTGCTGACCCATGATGATGATGATGATGATAGCTATTTATGTGCCTGCATTCTGCACATACTAATACAACCTTGAAGTTCTTCTCCCACTTCCTTCTGTAAGGAGTGGCATGTCAGCAGTTTGAGGTTTAAATTCTTAAACTGAGTGGATTTTAAGCTAAACCAGAAAAACATTTAGGGCAAAGAGGACATTGCTATTCATATGAATACTTTCTAGATTGGAGTTCTGACTTGTCAGTAAAGAGGGGCAGTCAGTTTCCAAACTCAGCTCTCCTGAATCTCAGGCTTCTATCAGGGCAGAGACTGAGTCCCAGAGAAACCAGTGAGTACTCTTTTATTTTGGAAACTATTAAATGAAGCTGAAATAACCTTTTTCTATAGTTCCTGCTATTGGTGAGCACAGATCATGTTGAAGACTTGCATTGTGGGGTTAATATTTGCATATATGTATGCAGAATTCCTGTCCTAGGAGCCTTAAACAAAATGTCAAGGCATTTTATGCTAGAGACGTTTTATTTAAGCCTAAAATCAGAAGAGCAAACATGCCATAGGAGGAAGAGGACTAACAACATCCAAGTGCTTCTGAATGGCAGACTTCCAACTAAATACTTTACTTGGGTTATTGCCCTTGGCTGTTCAGTAACGTGGTGAGAGTGATAATATTCCCATTAAAAGCTAGGAGAGATTAAATAATTTGTCCAGGGTCATGTAACTGGTATATAAAAGAGTAGCTGTAACCTGTGTTTCCTGAATTTTGACTCACATCATACAAATTATGATTGGGACTTTATAGGCACACTTGAAATGAATTAAAATAATTTTTCTCTGTACTTTTAAGGCTCCGCAGATACAAAGTCCTAGGGAGTAGCAGTTCCGACTCAGACCTTTTCTCTCGCCTGGCCCAAATTCTTCAAAATGGATCTCAGAAACCCCGGAGCACTACTCAGTGCAAGAGTCCAGGATCCCCGCATAATCCAAAAACACCACCCAAGAGTCCAGTTGTCCCTCGCAGGAGTCCCAGTGCCTCTCCTCGAAGCTCTTCGTTGCCTCGTACATCTAGTTCCTCGCCATCTAGGGCTGGACGGCCCCACCATGACCAGAGGAGTTCATCCCCGCATCTGGGGAGAAGCAAGTCACCTCCCAGCCACTCAGGATCTTCCTCCTCCAGGAGGTCCTGCCAGCAGGAGCATTGCAAACCCAGCAAGAATGGCCTGAAAGGATCTGGCAGCCTCCACCACCACTCAGCCAGCACGAAAGCGCCCCCAGGGAAGAGTAAGTCAGCGAGTAAACTCAGCAGATAGGAGCCAGGCCGCATCTCTGAAAGGTGTGAGATCCTCCTCCTAAACCTGATGCATGTGTATCCCTGTACTGTCTATTTTAAAAGTCTGTGTTGATTTTCTCTTGCAAAAGATAGTAATATGATAAATTATTTATAAGGAGACATAAATATTTGATAAGGAATTACCTAAGGCAGGCAGCAAGCAGATCAGGAATTAATGCCTTTGCACAGGAAGGGGCAGTCTAGCAAATCCAAGAGGGAGACACTGATTAAATGAACTTTTTTTTTAGCTGCTTCTAAAACAAGAGAGTCAAAAGTAGGAGATGGAATGGAATTTTAAAGGTTTTGGCCTGCTTATTCTTTAAGGCTCTACTCAAACATTATATAGCAAAATTGAAACCTCCTGTTTTAATATTTTCATTCAAAACTTCTCAACTTTGGAGTTCAGAATTGCTCCAGTATTAAAGTATGTTAGAAGTCTGTTGCTGGGGAGCCATTGCTGATATACATATATGTAGCTTGTGTATTTATCTATATGGAGAGTTCACACCTTTACTTTGCCTCATTCCTCGTACCCTCCTTGGATTTCATATTTTTTAAAGTTAGTGTTTCTCACCTGATCCAATCTTTTATTTTAACAATACATTCTAATATGCTTTTAGCAGCATATGCTAATATTTTTCTTTGGAGCTCTATAGTCTCAATATATTTTTATTGTGAGAAATAATTGATGACACTTAGGTAATAGAAGGGAAAATCTAAATAGAACTAGTTTGCAGGCTTTAGTGCTTTAGGCAGAGAGGGGCAGAGTGGGGGTGAATGCCCTGTAAGGCAGAAAAACTCTC